GGATTTCACCTCTATTCTTAAGTTTTTCTTTTTTGTTTTTCAGGTCATTTAAGGGTAGAATGTAATTAAAGGGCAAAATGTAATTAGATAGTTTAACATTTGGTCTAAAACATATTGTCCTAAGCACCTGACATACATGCTGTCAGTGAATAGTCTGTTGAAGTAAGTGCTGAACAGAAAAAAGAGCTATGCCTGGGAACCACACAAACTGTATAGTTACAATGTGGCATTTAATGGGCAGCACACACTTGGGATAGCTCAGTGATGTAGGGTCCCAAAGAGGAACAGGGAGGGCTTGGGGAGGAAGCATTTGTGTAACTGCCAAACATAATCTGATCTGTTACTGTTAGTCAGATCCTTGTAACAGAGCCTGCTATAAATACATCAGCTGTGAGCTGACACATGCCAAGCACAAACCGCAGAGTCTCTGCAGCAGGCACATGTCCCTCCTCTGGAGGCTGCTGACAGCATTTGCTTGCTGGGGCCTGTCTCTCAAAAGGGGCAGCACGCAATGGGCTGGGGAGGGAAATGGTTCACTGGCTTTTCACATCAGAAACTCCTCAGCAAAGAGCAAGGGCAGGAGGGAAAGGACAATTGATACATCATAGAATTTACAATAGTGCATATGCCTGCTTCTGAGAAGGGACTGCCCCCTAACGCTGACAATTTTAAATCATAGAATCATAGAATGGTTTGGGTGGGAAAGGATCTTAAAGATCATCTAATTCCAACCTCCCTTCCATGGGCAGGGACACCTTTCTTCTTAAATCAGCTTGCTCAGAGCTCAGTTTTATCAAATGCAATTATATAAAAGTGTGCCTGTGCACAATACAAACGTGTGGATACAAGGCAGAGAACAATTACACTAAGTTATCTGAACACAGAAGTCAGGGTTGTCAGAAATTAAAATACCTTAAAAATATCTGGTGAAGTATATCCTTCATAACAATCCATAGAATCTTCTCCACTTGCTATTGGGAATTCTAAATTGTCATGTACCAGATCCTCCTCTATGTACAGTCTAGTCAGTTCTTCTGTTGTGTCTTGTGCTTCTCCAGAGAAATCTGATTCTTGAGATTCTGACTGATCCCCTTTATTAAGTGACAGGTCTGCAGTACAGATTTCCTCTTCGTTTTCAGCAGCTAGCACACTGGACAAGGAACCTTCTTCATATGGCAAAGGGATGTTATGCATAGCACCGTGTTCACCTTCTCTTGTAGCATCTGACAAATCTCTAGGTACTTCAATAACTAAAGGATCAATTATGCTTTCTAAGTCTTTATCTTTTCCTGATTTGGTATTGTTGCTGACATGCTTATATGTTATGTCATGAGATGAGCTGGCTGAAGATGAGACAGAGGGAGATACAAGAGAGGACAGAGGGAGATCTGTAGGAGAGCTGAGAAACACCTCTGTATTTGGCATAAAGTGACCATCCTTAACATGGTGAATGCTATTACCTGGGGGGATTGCTACAGTCTGGGAGGTTGCTAATGCCAAAGAATTGAGTTCTTCTAAGTCACAAAGAAAACTGTCTGGAACTGATGGAGAAGTTAAGCTGCACATGCCTGAAGGTCTTGAGAACCCAACAGTCCTTGAGAACAAGTCACTACAGTCAACCTGGAGACTCTTTTGATCAATGTGTGACCAAGATGACGGAAGTTGTCTGGAAAGTGGGCTCAGTGCTTGGGAAGGCAACTTCAAAAATAAGAAAAACATGGGAATTGAAATAGATAAGCATGACAGAGAATTAGGATATGAGTAAACTGGAAAATAAAAATGTCTGTGCCATCATCTGGATTACAGGGTACAATTTCAGTGACCATGGGTGTCTGAAATCACTACTATATGAATCAGAACAGCAGGAAAGACATTTGAAACATGAAACTATCAGGTTCTGGCTTAGGGCATAAATGTCAAACATGAAGACAGATCTGAATCATTACATTCATGAAGGCAACTGCATTTGATCTGCTGAAGTTATGTTACTCATGGTGCTCTGTTAGTGAGCCTGTCACAGGTTATTAAATCATACAATTAATAACAATAATAATGAATTTTTCCCAAACTATTACTCTTATTTTGAGAATAGAATTTTCAGAAGTACACTTCAGGTATTATTAAATACTTCTTTCTAAGTACAACAACCGAGGTAATTTCTAATTATTAAAATGTTAATACTTCTATTTTTTCTTAGTACTTCTGAGTAAATGTTTAAGAAACATCTTTAATACATTGCATACTTTTATTAAGGCATGAGCTGCTGCTCAGAATGAATGAATTTGAGAATTCAGAATGAATTTTTTTTCAAAATTAACCCCATTAGTTCAAAATGATGTCAACATTTGTGAAAGGTACATTCAGTTCAAACTGGACATAGGCAGTCAACAATGCTTTTGAAATAGTGACAGCACAGTACACAAGAGTATGCTTTGAGTACCGTTACACAATATTGATTGAAGTATCCTTCTGGTAAAAGAAACGTCCTTTTCTAAGAACGAGAGACTGGTGAGTCATACGTACACAGCATCAGTAGATATCCATTGCTTCAGTAAATACTGAAAATGCATTTTTATTACTATAAATCCTCAAAATTAAACTTGAGCAAAAAATATTTTGATCTCATCGTTACAACTATCCAAAATAATTAGATGTACACCTCTAAGTTATCTGGACTACTACACACTTTAATAATTAATGTAGTAGAGAAAAAAAAATTCAGAAGTCTACAATAATGTTGCAGAATAGGGAGGTTAGTTTACTTACCTTCTGCTTGAGTTTTCTTGAGGCAAACAGCTTTATATTATAGTTAGACAAACCTTTGTTACAGAGTCAGTCTTCTGTACCAAAGTAAACAGTATAGACTGATACAATGCAGTCTGCTAAACAGAGCTAAGCTGTTACAGAAATACTTAGTCTCTTTCCCTCATCATTCCTCTTAAGCAAGGGTCCCTAACCTGTGGTTTTAAGGTCAATAATACTGCTGAGGAGATTTCACCATTTTTACTTTCCCATGGCTATAAGCTGCACTATATATCTATATCTAAAGATATAGATGGATTAGGCCAAGTTACAGAGAGCAAAACTTGCTCACAACTTGTATTGCTTATTTATCTTACTGCCATTAGGTCAGAGAAGTTTAGTACAATTGTTCTAGCAACAAGGAGGGATATGTGGTAAAAATCTCCAAAGGAGTAGGGAAAGTGGTATCAGAAAGTGTGGTAAACTCTAGAACACCTTCAGGACTGATGAAATTCTTCCAGGTAGCCAGGAACAACATGTCTTCTTCATGGTATTGCCATTTCTGAATACAGCAGAATCCAGAAAAAAGATGTCTGTTTAAGAGTCTCAGTGGAAGGTGGTTTTGATTTTTTTTTTTAAACCTGATTGTTGAAGAAGTATCCTATGTTAAAAAGAAGGCTTCTACTAGTTTCCTTCCCTCATGAACTAATTTAGTAAAAACTAACTTAATAATAGCAGCAGGATACTTTTGTAATATGGATGTAAATGCTGTGAAGCATCACCTGTGCTCAACAAGAGCTACGGAGCTTTGGCAGGATACCTTAGAGAGAAGCCTGCTCCATAGAAAACAGGGAGAGGCATCTCTGGAATAGGGAGCACTTAAGCTGCCTCATAGTCTTGACTTGCCTTCAGGACCCTCTGGAGTCCTGTAACAATAAGGAGCCCTGGCTTATTAATACCTCAGTTGGCAGCTACAGAATTTGATGTTACTTAAGCAGTTTTGTGGGAATAGAAGAAATAGGATCTAGTTCTCTGTTGTGACACATTCTGAAAAACCAGACAAGACCTGTTCTAGCAACTGTCCCAAACTAACTGATACTTATTACTAAGAAATATTTTCAGGGGCTACTGTTGCCTATAAATGACATCTTTGGATAGCTTTTTACAACCCCAAAGTAGTTAGTAAATGTGGAACTTATTTCAAAGTTGAAGCATGTGGATGATCACCAAGTATGGAAGTAGATAGAAGTAGAAAAGAGGACAAACCCAAATGAAACATGAATTAATAGCAGGACAAAGAAGTTTATAATTACACACAAAACTCACTGCCCACGCTGAAGAGATAAACAGCAAAGGTAAAGAGGAAGATCTAGAAAAGTTTCCATCTTGAATGTTCAAAGTAATTGATAGCAAGTTAATTCTTAGCACAGTTTGTATGCAGAAACTTCCTTAGTTTTGATCACTGCCAAAAATGTTATGTTCCCCACACAGGTGAGTGCAAAGCCTCACAAGTGAATGATAAACCAGAACACAGGAATCTTTCTGCAGCATCCTGTAGTATGGTTTGTGGTGGTTATCTAGACTAGGAAGGAGAACAATTTGTAACCTATGATATGCATCTGGTGTGAAAAATATACAAGCATAAAGGTCTGCATTCAAGTTCATTGACAATGTGATGACAATCATCTCACTCCTAAATGAAACAATACTGTCAGTTTGTACCCCTCCAAGGAATGTACCAACATTCTAGCCTCCTCATAGACTGTGAATGGTAAAAGGAGAAAGGTTTTGGTACAGAATCACTGGCTGTTCTCCTTTGCTTTAAAGGTACAGAACTGGTCTTGGCAAGCTGTGTCCTGCATGCTTATGGAACCGTAGGCTTTTAGGACAGCTGTGTTATGGGAATGCCTTCACATTGTATACTATTAGAAATCTTCTAGACATACCCTTAATGCTCAAATTCTTGCTAAGATTCCCAAATAAATTTTTCTCTGTTGACTTGACTTTTCTGCCCAAATTTCACCTGTCTCTACTAAAAATAATGTAATAGCCAATTAAGAACAGAGCATAAATCCTGGCAGAATATGACACACTTGTCTATTAAAAATTATTTACTAACAACATAGTAATGCAATTCTACCTGTGCGAGAAAGAAAATGTTGTGTACTTAATCCCAAGTTATGTATAATGTTAACAAAATATTACAAGTCCTCCTAAACCCACTCTAGAGGTGGCAGCTAACATCAGAAAATCCTTACCTTAGTTGAACTTAAATGATGTATTCTGTCACTAGAATAGCTTTGGGGTATTGGAGGGTCAGGATAGTCATCTACACCTTTTGATGGATTCTTTTTGATGACTTCTACATAGGAGACAGGGAAGATGCCTTGTTTGTTGGTTCCTGGTATTTTACCTTCATACCAGTTTTGATCAACTCGCTTAAGAAGAATTACTCTGTCTCCCTGAAATGCATTATGAAAATGAGTTATCGGCACATACATTGAAAGTTAATTTTGTACATAACAACTATTATTTTAACACATAATATTATCTTCCCTACAGTGCTGCTTCCGATCAGTCTTGAGCATCATCTCCATTTTCCCATTTTTTCCTCCCATTGATAACAGCCATATATAAAACTATCATCCCAGTAAAAGGAGGGGTTAGGCATAGACAATAAATGCTGTTCTTTTACTGGAGGGGAATCTCATCTAGTCCTTTCCTCTTGCTTGGGAGATTAACATTAACACTTTTCTTTGGAACATAACCTGTTTTAATTGTTGGCCAAACCACTAGCTAATGCCCCAACCATAGTATGCATTGACTGATATGCCCATTTTTTCTTAAGAGTGATAAAAGTTCAACAGTGAAATCCGTGCAAGTGCTTTGTCATCAGTAGCAATTCGAGTAAGTGAAGGTAGAAAACTAAAATATGTCAGTCTGTTGAAAATATGAGAGAAATAAGTGTTTTTCCTATGTAAAATAGGCAGAACCTCACTGTTTTTAGGGACTGTAGAAATTGAAATGGGAAACATCAACCTTATATTCAAACCTTGTACTTTACGTGCTAGACCCTTCTTTGGTTTGCATGATGTTCTTTTCACCATGTCTTTCTGAAACAAATCCTTGCCTATTAGTTTTGCATTCTTTTGGGTTTCTTCAATTTTGTTTCTGTAGCTGATGTGTGGAGTTCACTACAATTGTCCTTAGTGAGATGGAACAAAGGAAAACCAATGCAAATCAGCTTTCTAAACAAACCAAAACTGGGCCATTAAGATTATGATCACCTCAATAAACACAAAAGCTAATTTTAGAAAGAAATAAGACCCCCAATTATCCCCAACCTCTGACTTCTCTAAGTTCCTCTTCCTGGGGTTTTTTTAGACCTCTCTGACTTTTACAAATTTCCAATTAATAAAAAAATCCATTATTTTCAGTAGTGCTGGATTAGGCTGTAGGTCAGCAACAAACATCTCTATCCTTACTTTTTTGCTTAAAAGAAAAACAAACCACTGAAAAGCTTCTATGAACTCTAATTCTTAAAAGAAAAAAAAAAGTAAGGGGCAGAACTTCCCAGTGGATGAGAAGTAACCACTGCTTACAACTAAGCATTTAATGTCTGCAATAATAAAGTTTTTCTACAGTATTAATATTTCAATGTCTAACAAACTTCAAAAATTAAACAGTTATTTTGTTCATGTGCAATTCAGTATAGCCAATAGGATATGCATAGGAAAGATAATAGAACATTATAAACAAAGAGCTGTTATTAAGTAAAATATTTACATTCACAAAAATATCTCTGAGGCTTTTTTTGGTATCTTTTATCTTGTGTAATTTTCTATTTATTCTGCATTAAAATCCTTACTATGATAATTGTGACAGCCAGGAATAATTTAAAAAAGGAATAGATAATTGAAGTGAAAACTCAAAATTTATCTGGGCAGTTAGCAGCTGATTGCATATGCTACTCTGCCACAGTCCAAATTAAAGGCAAAACACATTTACAGTATTTTCAGGTAGCTGAGACAGACTGCAAGGCAACAAGCTATTATGTTAGTGTTTCCTACCATGGCACTGCTTTGTGCATTGCAAATCTAGAATGCAGAGTGTACAAAGAGCAGTATTTACCTATATATTGATTCTGTGTAGCAGGAGACATTATAATGGTATTTTGATGGAAGATAGTTCTCAACTGTACCTTTCTAAGTGATAACTCCACATTTGTGTCTGCACTGAAATTATATTTGGCAACAGCTTCTCCAATCTCTCCAATCTGTGCAGGGGGAGGTGGCCTGGCAGGCTGTGCTTTTTCTGGGGGAGAAAGTTTCTAAGGAAAAAAAAAACACCGGATTTTCATCATTCTCATGTGGTTTGTGGACCTATTACCCAAATTAATTAAAAGAATTAAAACAAAGAACAAACCTCAACATAAGAAATTGGGAATATTCCAACTCTTCCATGGTGCTCACCCTCATACCAGTTTTGATCAATTTTCCTGAGGATATAGACAGTATCTCCTTTCTTAAAGGACAGCTCTCTGTAACAAATTTATTTATATCAGATGTTTATAGCTTTACATTTAACTCTTCTCCCTGCATGGTTCCTGAGATCTTTACAGTTTGGAACTTAAACAGAATGTAACAACTAAACATTTGAAGAAAAAGTGTCACAGCTATGGTACATTTATCAGTTGATCATAACATATAAAATCAAATGACTTGCATTATGAATCCCCATGAAGTATCTATAGGTTACAAAGGCCTGTCTTACATTGTGATTTCAAGGAGGCATTGCTGGTTACCACCAGAGAACTTTGTATGATGTGTGCATGCAAGTATGATGATCTTCATGGCTTATCACTACCTTTCTGCAGCATAAAGCTTGGTGTGCTTCTGCTCTACACATTTTTTCTTTCATAACATCTATTCAGAAGCATGAAGGACACAGGATTATGTTCTCACCATTTCTCAATATCAGAGACAGTGGGTTGTTAAATGTTGGATACCAAAAAAGGGACTTTAACATCATTAAGAATATTTTCAGATCCTGGCTTGGGAGATCTTTGCAGTATCATCCATTTGGTTTTTCAAGAGCTAATGTGCTGCTCTGGTAATTTCAGTTGTGACTTTTGTCCTGACACAGCTAATGTAATTCTACTGTCAATGTTTGGTCATATCTAAAGACTGTTTAAATGTCTTGAATCATTAGAACAACAGCAGAACTTAACTGTAGACTTTCTACTTTGTCTCATATCCTAAATTAGTGGTTCCCAATATTTTGCTATGGACCACTGCTTTTTGTGTTGGTATGTGGCATGTTACATCCTGCAGAAAGCCTGTGTGTGTTGAGACAGACAGGAAGAGGCTGAAGCATTATACAGACTTTTGATAAACTCATTATCTATGACTGTGGTTTTAGCAATTTACCCTCTGTCACCTAAATGTAATTCACAACCAAGAGCCTTCACAACCTGTGCTCTAGAAGGTGGAAGATGCACAGCTATTCATGTGTTCAAACAGATACAATGGAGAATATAATAATTTAAGATAATATTTTTACAAAGTAACTTCTCACACAGTTTGCAAGTGCAGGGACTACTGTGGCAGCAAGCAGGGTCCTCATGCCCATGGCATTCACTGTTGAAACTGGCTCGAACACCACTTAAGTGGTAGAAAGAGTTTGCTTGAATTATGAATTCTTGAATGAACAAAAGTCTAGTACTTACTTAGAAGTCTGAGCTTTAAAGTCATATACAGCTCTAGCTGGCAGTTTCTGAAAAACAGGTGAAGTAATTAATACATTCAGGTAGTATTACTGTATGATAAATGTGTTTCAATTTTTAAATGGTGACCAAGATCCAAAAAGAAAAGGATGAGCTTTACAGTGGTTCTTGAAGAAATAGGCAATAAAATATACATCTTTTTTTTAAGGTAGTTAGGTGTTTGGGACTTAGTGTTCTAAAACCAGAAATAGCTAAATTTTAATGCAGACTACTGTGCAACTTGATGTTTAAGAGAAGTACCAAAGTAAATAAAAAAGTCACCTATGTCAATGTGACTTGTAGGCAACTAGATCTCTAGGTACAACATAAATACACATACTTAATATTCTGTAGTATTTTAGGTGCCTTTAATGTAAACTTGTTATCTGTAGGCTAATTTCAATTGCAATGATGCATGACATTTATATATATATATTTATATATACACATATTCTCTGACAGCTGGAAATGGTTGGAATATTTTTAATTTCTATAATTACATTCATAGTTTTAAGAAAGCACAGGACTGGAGGTGATCTGGGTCATCTGTGCAGCTCTCTTGCTATCACAGGCAATCACATGATAACATTTCTTTCATACATTTATCAAGTTCTGTCACCAAGTACATGTAAGCTCGATAGGACTGTCTGCATCTGACAAGTAGCCAGCACCAGATACTTCAGAGGAAGTGAAAAGCAGAACCACATGAGGGCATTTGTTGAAGTGATTTAGTCTTGCTCTGCAAGTACTTGCACAGATAAGATCACCCCATTCTAATAAATTCCTCTCTAGGATGTCCTAGTGACTAGAATGAGCTGATTATGCTATTCTGAGAGATACTATTTGTCATGATGTAAAGGTGCACATCTTTTTATGACAGGAATAAAAAGGGACACTTGTAAATTTTACATTTTAGCTTTATTCCAGGCCAGGTGTTCTTGACTTGGTTCTCTCTCTTCTTGTCATTTTAAGACTAGCAAATCTAGCACACCTACAGAATTGTCTTCAATATAATAAAAAGTCCCTGAAGTTATTATATGGATCCTGTCAATTTGAATTTTGCCGTACTAATACAATTTTTATTACAGATCTTCTTCAAATAAGATAGCCTAAATTTAAAAGCATTTTTCTGTTCCTTGCTCTTATTAAAAACAGTCTCTTAGACAGGAGGGGATATTCATATCAACATATGATTCACATCAACTGTAACTAAGCCCTATGCAGTCTTTCCTGATTTTGGTACAGCTGGTATTGTAACTCTTAAAGCAAATAACAGAAAAAGTGGATATGAAAAGAACAGTGGAGCTGTTTAATTAAATACAAAATACTTTGAAATGTACAAAACATACTGGAAATAGACATGCCTTTTCTCTTTAACATTTTTAAACTTTTTAAAACGATCTTAAAAATGTCTTGTAATTTAAGTATTTTATGTATTTTCAAATTGAAAGATGACTTTTCATGTCACAGGATTCTTTAAAAGAAACATACAATATGGCTCCTATGGAACTATGGAACTCCTATGGAACAATATGGCTATGGAACTTTTTTAGACTGTATATTGTAATGAGAAATCTTTTTTTAAAAAAAGCAGACTTTTAATCAAATTGCAGAAATATAAGCAAGTCGGTGGGGTATAAATGGTTCTGAATTCAGTTCTAACCATACCACCATTTATCAAGGTGTATAGCCCAGACTAAAATCTTATCTATTAGCAATTAAAATATAGTAATCTTTTATGTTGTTTGGAGAGCATTTATAGTTCTAGACCTATAAGCATTCTTAAGATACAGAATAATATACTTTATTTTTCAATATGTACTTTTCAGTGATGCTTTGTGTTACTTTAAAGGTGGTACACTTCCATTTTCTGGTGGCCTGCTTCCATTTACTCTTCCAAAACATAAAAGCAATCAGTACCTAACTATAATCACCAACTGCTACAGATGTTAGAGACTCCTCTTAGGATAACTGGTTTTGTCTAATCCACTGACAGCAGTGGTTTGCTTTCCAAACAAAAATAACAGTGAAATATAGATATTTTGTATCAGTTTTGAAACTACCAAGGTAGTTTCTTTGTGTAATACTTTGGGTTTCTGAACAGCCTTTCCCCAGTCAAGTCTGTTATTTTTCTCTATTCCAAACACACACTCCAATCAGTTTTGACAGAGCTGATCAATAACTAGTGAATTTATGTCCATTTCTATTTAATAATGAACAAAAGAATGCAGCTTATCTTACAAAGCCTGATATTATTTTAACTTCTTGAAATACCAATCTCCTTAATGAAAAAGGAAGATGCTGTTCCTTTGGTCTGCATCATTATATAGTCTTAAAACCAAGACAAATCTTGTCTCAAATATGTTTCCAATTTTCCATATGGATATTGCTGTGTTATTTATTGTTGTTTCACTACCTCTTTGTCTGTAGTTCCTCTTCTCTCCCTTGGAGTACATCGTCCCACATCAGTGAAAGCAGAAGAATAGCTTCCAGGAGACTCCTGGTCTACTGAAAACAGAAATTATGTGAAACTACGATAAACAAAACCATTCAAATCTGTAATGCTGCTTGCTTTCATTTTGGGGGGTAAAGAGATATTGAAATCTATATTTTACATTTAATAGAAAGAAAAGCACATGGTATGATGGTTAAGAGCACCTTTAAAGGAAAAAAAAAAATTACTAACTTTAAGGAAAGGCTAAGGCTGTCCTCTGATCCAGAGCAGAAGGAACTCTATGACTGAGGATCAAGAGAGTGTATTTATGCCTCACTGTGAAAAGGGATGCTCCCCTGCTGGGCCAAGTGGAAGACATGACAGCAGGTCTCAGACTCCACCAGGTTGCAGGACATTGTTTGGAATGCCAGCAATGTAAACACATAATTACATGCACAAGACATGATTCAAGCATGCTTCAATGAGAAAATGTGAAGAAACATTGTTTCCTCCTAAGTGATCTAAGATGCATTTCTACTTTACCAGGGGCACATGTTAGGCAGCACAAGGGAATTTAAAAGGATGTTACTTGATAAAAACAATTCTGTTTTAAGAGATGGAATACAAATCATATTAGGCACCAATCTATGTGGCAGACTTTTCTAAAGCACAGTTTGCCAGTGTTTATTAGAGGATGGTGAATATTTTCTCATGTTTTGATAAGGATAAAATCAAAATCTCATACACTCTATAGCTCTGCAAGTTGCAAATGTGAACTGAAAATAGAACTATTTAATGAACTGTCTCTTAACTTCTAGAAGCACTGTTTTAGTTTGCTACTACCACAGTGGTACTTTCTAGTGGAAACGTGATTTATATTTGTCTTCCCTTGACTTCATTCCCACAATCTGTTGTTACCAACATTTCTAAAGAAATGCAAGTGGAACAAAGAAAAGAACTGAAAGCATCTCATCCATTCTAATTGGTTGTTGGCTAAGCCACAAAAAATTGAGGCTATTGATAAATACAATGGAGGTAAAGAGATCATTTTATGATTTATGCCATTGGTTGTTAGCATGTCATTCCCAATAAGTATATCCTAGCCCTAGTTCTGGACAGCTTTTTTGATATGGCATGTGTTCCTGAATGAGGATGTACACCTACTGCATAAACCTAAAGATACAATGAATGACTCCAAACACATCTATTTTTTTTCTTAAATTTCTAGCAGTAAGAGAAGGATTTGGAAAGGAGTGAAGATGCAGAAGCTTTAGGACAAAAAATTCTCCTTCTTTTCTCCACAGCTCCTTATGCAGTCAATACTGGTAGCTTTGAGTCATCTGCTATGACCTTCAGGTCTCTGTGTGGTTCTAAGAGATGCACACACATCCAGCAAAACACGAAAACTTGATTAGAAGTAGAGCTCAGCTATGACTGGTGCTGATGGAAACTAATTGAATATTCTGCTTTACTCATTCTCCATGCTACTTTAGGGATATTAATGTTGACAGAGTGTATTGCTTTCCTCATGCCAGGCTCCTTCATAACTGCAAAAGCTAATAGAAATCCACATTTACTTTACACTATGGATTTCCTTATTTTCAAAGACTGGAAAATTCTCATTTAGCAACTACAATATGTGAAAAACACATTTTTCAACAACTTGAGTCTCATCATGTAGTACTGTGTGCCAGGGTTAATTATGATCAAGTATGACTAATTAAATTCTGAACTGCATTTTATAGCTGTTTTTTTACCAAATTTTCTATTCTAAATATGCCTGTTACAACTAGTTAAGAAAAGATGGTAATAAGTTCAATTCTGATTTCTCTTGAAATACATATTTATTATTGTGCTACTTGCAAAAGTTACACAAAAATATGTGAGAATAATGATAAGATGGGTTTGATCAAATATTGCATAATTTCTATATTAAAGACATTCTCTCTTACATCCATTTGGGATTTCAAGAATATATTTTAACTATTTTTTTATTTTTAAAATTGAAATAAAAGAAATATCAAAAAAAGAGGCAGAGCAACAAACAACTCAAAGCAGTAACTTTAAAAACAGATTGGTCATACGTACCCTGACAATTTCATTCTTGTTTTGATTATTGCGAAATTCCCTTCTAAGAAGACAGGAAATTTCTCAAAATTTATTTTGAAATTCTATGGAAAGAATTAGTTTGGCTGCCACAGAAATTGGAAATTGTTTGAACAGTGGAAATGGAAACTTCCTAAAATGACCTCAATATCTATTCACAAAAAATAACACAAAGTAGTGGATTCATAAGAAAACAGAACCATCTGTCTATGATACTGGCAGCATTAACAGCATTTTTATCACTTATATTTAATAAAATTATATAGTAAAATATATTTTAGAGTCACATTCTTTTTTTGTTAGTGATAAAGAAGAAACCAATATGCAGATAATCCTAAGTTTGACCAGCATCTTATGATGCATGAATTCACTGCTTAATAACATCATTATAATTTATAGAACTAATTTAGTTTCAATTAGTTGAAATGCACTGCTACTTCAGTTGTCCTGGTTACTGTATTTTGTGAATAGACAGCAAATTTATCTATCCTCAACACCTAGGTGAAAATGATGTCCTTCACTAAGAATTTTGTGGGATGAAAGCTTCTTATAGACAACACAAAGTGGAATGAGAAAGGGTGGGAAACACAGGGAGTAAGGTTGGATAAGTCAATAACAAGGATAGAGGAAGAAAGTAAATCCACCTTGGAAACACAGTGCACTATCATTGTTGTTAGTTGCATCCATGTCTGGAAAAGAGGCACTAAGAGGTAATCTTCCACAATCATTCTGGTACAGTGGACAATGGATAGCACCATCTTGAGGCAGTGGATGAAAAGGCTGGTGCGTGGGACTCTTTTTCAGAGCTTTAAGAGATGAATTCCTTTCTGGAATGTCTGGAAGCAGCTCAGTAATAAGTCTGTGTAATATACTGTTGTCGGGCAAGCTTCCCCGCCTTTTTTCAGCTTTAATTTGGTCACAGATGTCTTTAAGTGCAGAATCTAGTGCTTCAAACACAGATGACTTGCATTTTTTCTTTTCAGTTTGTTTTTTAGGAGCTGCACTTTTTTTCCTCCGGAAAGGCACTGGACTGACGAGGAATGCTATCTTAGACAGGCCGGATTCAACTTCCTGTCTCCTTGGATCTTCAGTGGTTTCTTGCTTAGCCCTTTCATGTTTTAGCATGGTGGTGAAGCGGGTGTAGGATGCTGGGCATCGCCCTTTGCAGGAGCTGATGAGATGCCTGTGGTGGTGGTGATGGTGGTGGTGGTGATGGCCTGATCCATAGAAGCTTTCAGATGAAGTGAAGGAAAAGTGATCAAAGTCACTTTCACTACAAAAGGATGAACCCTCTATCTGGATAAAGTCACTGAGATCAGAAACCACTCCGTCTTGATCGCTGTCTGAAAAATCTATATGTGATCGTTGTGGCTCATCACTGGTCACTTCAATATGAATTGGCACCAGGGTTTTAGACTTGTAGCTCCGTTGTACCTGAGAGGGATGTCTGACTGGAGTTTCTTCTTCCAGCAGGGATTCGATAGAAAACCGCCTCTTTGGACACAAGCCATTTTTAGGAGGCTCTAATGTAACTGTTGACAACATGTCATCACCAAGGTTCGGCATTGATTTTGACTTCTGAATTAACTTTTCAAATTCAGATATTCTGGTTGGCACCATGTCTCTGGGCACCTCCTCAGTAGATGACTCTCTCCAGCCTTGAAGAATACCTTTGTGCTGTTCTTTTTCATATTGCAGTATTCTGGACTTGACAGAACAAATCACCTCAGAATTCATCAAGTCCTTGCGATTGATGCGGTGCATCTTTTTGTACATCTTGAGGAAACCTGGAGCATCATGCGCAGATCTGTGACGAACTCTTGACCTACCACTACCACGGCCCTCAGCGTATGGGGAGTTCCAGTTCATTGAGCAAATTTCTTTGGAGTCCTCCTCACATAACAGAGAGCCCATGCTTTCGGCCTTGGCCTGTGCATCAGGATAGCTATCATGATCATCTGTCAACAGGTCATCACAGCTACGAGATTTCCTCTTTGGAGAAGCAGCTTCCTCTGTGCTACTCCAGACTTCTGCATTTTGGCGAGTCATTTGCCAGCCATTCTTGTAGCTGGTTGCCCTTCTTGAATCATTTGGAACAGCTAAATGTTGTCTGTAAGTGCTACAGTAATCTAATTCATTTGAGGTGTTGTGGTTGTGCACTGAGTAACTTAAAAGGGATGGATATACTTTGCTAATATCCCCACCTTTATAATCCATAGAGCAGCATGGTAAAAAAGAGACATTGCCAGAAATTAAAAGATTCAGAAAGTTGGAATTAGCATCAGTAAGTATTAGAAAGACTAGAAAAGAGATAGTAATTAGTGCATTTATCAGCTTAGGTCAGTACATAGTTTGTTACAGACTAGGACTGCAGAGTTAATTATTAAGTTATTTTCCAGCTGCTAAAATGCACTCATGATAATTTGAACAACAAAAAGAATTCCTTATTAATTATAGAGATGTTATCTCCTCTACAACTGCTGCCATCAAAGCAACATAAGAAACCAGGCATTAATTGGGGATTAATTGGGATTTTTAAGCAGGTCAACAGACAATAAAAACTGCAAAGTATTTAAAGATGAAGTCACACAACAAATCTAGACCTCAGGGTAATACTGACTTTTCCAACGGAGCATTCTGAAAAAGTTGTTTATGATTTTTAACCTGTATAATACCCAGAGTTCACAGCATCCACATATTCTAAGATAATTAAAATAAAGATAAATCTTTGTATCAGATCAAATAGGAAATTTCTCCCTGTTATTCACAGGTAGTCTGCTCCTTCCCTGTGTGGCAGCACTGAAGGGAGTAGTGTTTTGTACAGCTTATGCAGGGCAGAGGAAGGCAGCTCAGGAAGTGCTATGCAAGTGTAAAGGAAGGTGTATCAGTTTACTGAGCCTAACCACAATGTAGAAGTAAAAATAACCCTTAGATTGACTTCCATAACAAAAGCCTGATTTTTCAAGCTTTAAGACATATTTTTATGTGCATGGTAGATCTAGAAGACACTACAAGACAAATCTGGAACAGTGGTCTTTCATAATTGTACTGAACTTTCAAAAATAGTCTCAAGTGGCAACATTCAGTTCAGGAAGATGCTTCAAACAGCTCAGTCTGCTTTCTAAAAGAAATGGAATCTAGATCTGAAACTGAAACACTTGAGTTCAAAATTCATGGTGATCAAACAGTTTATAATGTGCTCCTTTAACAAATTGGTTAATTTCAAGAAAAAATTAAAATTCTACAGGGGTCATAATGCTGGGACAGAACAGTGTCACCTTCTGAAAGGTAATTGGCTGTGGAAGATATTCTTAATGGAAGGATTTTCAAAAACAGGAAGTGTTGAAGTCATGCTTAGTACTTGTTATTGGTGGCGGAGTCAAAGGCACATGCAGGCAAGTAGAATCTATTAACTTTTTACTGCCTGGCCTAGTAAGCCAAATGGATGAGTTATTCCACTTTTAAAATTACTGCTGTAACACTTTAATATTTTAAATGTTTAAAATACATTTGCTTTTCAATCACTTCACTCTCAATGTTCCTCACTGCTTTTCTTAGACACTTTCTGTTGCAGTCTAGATATTATGTTCTTTTCACTGTGAATTTAGTGTTACAAAAATTTACTGATTAGTTAGTATAGCTACAAAACAGAGCAATTAAGAGAATAATAAAAATAATAATTCAAAGAGATGGAGACATATTATATTCAGTATTATTCTATATATTACTTCCATTTTATATTTTACTGGAAGCTTTTTTGTTTTCTAGAAAAACCCATCCAAATCTCCAAAAACCCAAATAAAGAACTGACTCTGTGATCTCTTTCCTGGAGAGACATGGAAAACAGTAATACGATGGTGAGTTACTTGCCAAAAATAAGCTAATTTGATTGCATCAGCTCTACTAAATACTACCAAGGATTTAAAAAGTAAGAAATCAGACTATGGATGCTTTCTTGATTAAATAATGTCCTGATAACAATGTATATTTTCTTGATTACATTAGGTCCTAATAACGGACAACTAAGACATCCCCTATGGATTTAAAAGGTCTACTATCCTGGACATACATCTTTAATCTTACAGGTAATTTGTCTCAATTTACTTTCTCAATATAATAAAACTAGCTTTAAAATCACAATAATCTAGTAGAGTTAATAAAAATAATAGGGTTTATGTATTGTGGTAGAATTCATAGTCTTCTTTTAGTCAATTCTCTTTTGTCAGAACAAGCAGTTGAAACTGGAAAATCCTTGTTACAAATCCAGCTTTCCAGCTTAAAATTACACCTGTAAAAATAAAGAAGTCTGCCTTTCAGGAAAGGCTCAAAGCTGCTGACCGAGCCGCAGCAGGCAGCTGCTACCCACATGCAGTACAACACATCAGCAGCAGTTTTCTGCTAGCTAACATGGCCTCCTCTTACCTTTAGCTCGTGATGGAGAAGAAGGAGATGAGCTAGTTAAAGGCTTCCTAAGGGTGGAACATGAGCCCTGTGTGTCTGTACGACCCAGGTTAGGTCTGTTGGCGTTCTGGTCACTGTGTGCCCTCTGGTGACTCACAGCGGGCTCTGACTTCCTTCGCTTTCTGTAGTCACTCGCAGTACTTGCAGAACTACAGAAAAAAGCAGGATCAGTCTGACTCTGAGATCAGAATTCAGGAATTTAAGAAGTAAGGTCATAATTATAATATTGGTTTATAGATGAAAAACACATAAAGGGAAGAAGCACTCGTCTCACATATCTTACAGCCTATTTCCCAGTGAAAAGATTAATTTGTTCTTAGCCTGGTTGTTTTAAAACTGTACACAACATTACTATGCCATTTTCTTTGAAATAAATGCATCAAGATATGTTAGACTATTTTTTGGAACTAGAGTTTAGGTGCAAAGATATGAAAAAGATAGAGACTGAGAACAGTCAAGGTATCATGCTTAGGGAAACAGCACTGAATACAATGCAGGCAGTAAGGGTAAAGAATAAATCACTGCTGCTGAGAGAGAAGCTCAGGGATGTTAGTGGAAAGACCCAGAACACGGTGTGATTAATTTAAATGCAAACGCTAAGTCCTTGTAAAACTAAAATAAAATCTACACATCAGTATCAAAATCAACACTTCAAGCATCTAATTTGCCAGTAGCTCACAAGGTGAATGTTAAAATCTGACTCTTCACAAAATCTGCTGGTGTCAGGTCCCAAAGAAGACCCTCAGGCTGGATAATCTGTGTCTGCTGAAGTATAGATAGTGCTTCTTACCTGGAGGGCCTGTCCAGGCCTCTGTCTGTTGAATAGTGATGATATAAGGAAGCCTGTGAAAACAAAAACATGGATTGTTATGTTTGTATTTGAAGAAAGAGTGACAATTTTTTTTATCATATTTGATGACTCCTTGTTACTCTGTGGCAAATCCTATAACAACAGCCCATGATAATTAACATCCTGAGCACTCCATCATAGACACAGCAACATTTCATGAGAATAAATTATGCAGCTTTTAAAAAGCATTGCTAGATTTCATTACCTATTCTACTTCAGGAATTTTTTTCCTTTAAAGCACTGTTACATAATGATCCCTAATCATGCTTTTTTATATACTTTTCAAAACCAGTCACAGAACAGCTGAAACAAATCTTTACTGTAAAAACAGAAAAATCTGAAAATTATTCTTTTATGTATATGTGAGGTCTGCAAAGCTTCTCTTCATCCCTCAGTTACTCACCAAAATCCTACAACCAATAATAGCCAGAAGCTTTTGTCAATCCCATGATGTTTGTGGTGCACAACTGGCCTTATATACCTGGTAAGAACAGTTCTCATCACAGAAAATGAGTCATTGCTTATGGAGTTACAGATGCAGCTACTGGGAGATGGAACTTCCATAATTACATTATTAATTCAAAGTCAGCCTTAAATGACTACTGATTTTCAATCAACCATTTTAAGCCATTAGTCAGAATTAAGTAATATTACAGTTCTGGTACCCAGGTATGAATCTAGAATGAACTGCTTGGTTCCTGGGGTATTTCTTCATGGGTATAAAGCAGTCAGGTTCAAGAATTGAACTTCTTTCAAGTTCCTGCCATGTCACTTCAGCTTTCCATAACCCAATGGACTAGAAATAGAACTATCATACAAGTTTCTAAGGTGCAGGAAATATTTTTTCCCTTTATAGAGAGCCTTCTTGGCTTTTTCTGTGCATGGAAAAATCTTTGTCCTGAAGGACTGCTGAAGTAATGCCACTCATGGGCTGTACAAATCCTTTCTTTTGTTGGATTTTTTTTTTCCCCAATGATTTGATTTGCAAGCTCATGAACAGAACTTCACCCAGATCTGTTAACTGACACTTAGGTAGAGAAGTCACCAGTAGTCTTAGAATATTTGGGAACAGATTTTTTAGGACTATGGGGTGGGGAGAGCCACACAAACATGCCACAATATGAAACAAATGTTATCTAAAACTTGAGCTATTTTCACATAGTTCATATTTTCAAGTTTTTCTTTACACCCTCTGAAGGCTTATAAGTACTTTGTGACGATTGTCCCATCACTCTCCAAATGCAATGATTTTAAGATATATATCAATACTATGAGGTCTATCTGCAATAAAACCATAGAAGCCAGACACAGCGTTGCTCACACCACCAGCCAGTATAACCACAGGACGCAAAGGCCTCAGGTCTGTGTGCTTCCCTGCACTACCCATAAAATACACATTCAGCCTGTCCTGGAAAACACTCGAGTCTCATTTCAAAAATGGCCACAACCATCTTCTTTCTCTTGACCAGTCACTGCCATGGTCTGGAAGCAGCCAGGAAGGACACTCAGGACCACGGGTGATCTCTCAGAAATGTTGCACAAGGTGGTGCAAACACTGCAGACAAATTTTCATTGAGGATGAAATGCAGATGCATTTCAGGTGCAGATGCCAACCACCTCCACTTGCTACCACTGACCACATCGGAGGGGACAGTGGCCAAATGGCCCTGAGGCACTGCTTGCTTCCCACCACCTGTAGTGGCTCCATGTCTGTACAGACCATGATGTCACTCCCAAGGGTGGAGCAGATCCTCACTCTCTCCTGTGGAAGGCTATGGGATCACACAATGGAAATCCCACCAGAGGGAACTTCTTTTCACAGCATTCCCCAGGCTATACACAGATGGCTAGAAGTGCCTATCATGCCAAAATTGCTTGCTGGGTTACTGGCTTTCACTTTACATCCTTTAAGATTCTTTTACCACCTTGAATGCAACTTACCCTTTTATCCTTTATTTGATGCTGGCTTTAAAGTTTTTTCTCTATGACAGATCCTGTACTTTGCCCATTCTACAACACTAATTTCTACTACAGGCATATATTATTTTATAGATTGTGTGGAGTTTATACCTTCTCTCCACAGGAAGAGCTTCATTGATGTGACATATAGAGGAAAGGTGAAAGTAAATGCTGTGTGTGGTTGTTTTTTACTACTTGTTTTACTGTTTGCAGCTGTCCTATCAGCTCTTGGGTGTTTATTGACCCACTTTTAGATGGCCCAACTGAACACATCTCTCCCATCCCCAAAAATAATTAGCCATCTTCCACAATATTCAACACTGCTCTATATGAATAAAGGCAACTTGAAAAAAAATTAAATACTGGAGATGACAACTCCAAATCTTTTTTGAATACTTTGATTTGGTTTTACTAAAAAAAATGATATATTTATTTAGAATTTATCCAGTATTTTAGCTGTTTTCATGCATCAAGGCTTTAATGCTGATTAAAAATGGAGCTAGGGAAAGTAGGCAAAAGTAAAACGAAAATAACAAATAGGCTTGTTTGTACGATGGTTATAATACTTTATCAAGTTATTTTGAATAGTCTCCTCCTTTGGAGAAGTATTAAGTTGCTGTCATTTTTGAACATGATTTATCATATTTAAAGATTACTAAAATTTCAAAATTAAAGAGAGGACTTTGTAAATTAATCCAAGAGAAAACCAGTGATACTTAATAGCCATTTTACCCAGACCTACTGAACATGGGAATATTTCAAAGTCATGTTAGGGCTTTTAAATTGTCTTCCTTGATATATTGAAAACCAACAGGAATTAGAAAAGGCCTAGAAGCTTTTTCTTTCAGAGAACTGGGCCCAAATTTCAAAACTATGAGCTTTTTCTAGATCTATAGAGAGCTTAAAATCAAACGAGAGTAAATTGCAAACAATTAACAATTTAAGACCACAATTTAAGTTTAACTTTTGGAGAAACTACAGAAGATGAGAGTGAATCACAAATATGGATGAATTAAAGCCACCATATGAAGCAAAGTTGCCAGTAGAGAGGATTTGCTGACTTTTGCCCTAACGCTGTAAAAAAGGGGAGGGAGTGGAGGAGGAATGAAAGCCTGAATCTCTCCCACTCAGAGTAGGGCAATGTCAACCCACTACCTGATCTTGATTAATTTTATTTGCAGTACTGACAGCAACTGTCAACCCTGAGTTATAAATTACAAAAGTACTATTAATTGCTGTTTTACCTGATGAGCAACCTTAATTGGAGCAATGACAGCTTAGCCACAAAGGCTTTCACTTGACAGATAGAATTTGCAGTCAGATATTTTAATAAAAAAATAAACTGTGCTGATGGATTAATTGTGCAAGGCACATGCCCAACTCTGAAAAGTGGGAATTTGTCAGTTAGAGACGTATGGAGTGTTGTGTAATTCTGGGTATTAATCTCTGAGAAGTTTTGGGTATAAGGACTCACAGTTCCTAGGATAATAAGATCAACATCCAAATGCACTAGTGATCTGGAAAGATATGAAGACAAAGATACAATGATTGTGAATTAGAAATGTTTCATAGCTATCAGAAGGAAACCACTAAATTTTAACAAACCAAGATATAAATGGTGAGCATTCCAACCCTTCTTCCCAAGAGAATCATCTGAAAAAGAACCATTCATTTACCTCATTGGAAACACCAGAAGAATTGTCTTGAACATAGTCCAAAAGCTTTTTAGGTGGCTGCATCATAAAAGCAGAAGTGTAGAGATGAAATGAAGGAGGATCAATGGCAGCAAGGAATGAAACATGTGGAAAAGGTGACACAGTTAGAAATTAAGTGTTGACAGCGTCAGATACAAAGAGTGACACACATGGGTAGAATGGAAGGATAACTGTGTTAGTTTTAAAATATCTTAATAAAATGTTAGTAACTTTAGGTGGTAAAATTTACAACTGGAATGGTTGAATAAATAGCAGCAAGTTTTAACACTGAAAGAGAAAGGTCTAAAGCATCACAGTTATGCTCTGCTGGAGGAATTTCAATAGATTTTATCTTAAAAGCTATTGTTATCTGTAAAATATTGTTTAGATATGGTTAATCAGAAGAATTTATCTGTACTGTTTCTGCCCACATAGAAGGAGAAATGATAATACCACTTGAAGGGCAGGATAATGGAGATAAAATGTAATCCATAACAATGTGATAACAATATAGACCACTGCACAAGAAATTAAACCCAGATATATTTACCTTTATTATTTTTTAAAATTTTCATGGGATATTCAATGGGTAATTTTTAAAATGCTATGATTAAAACATTAAGGTTTTAAAAGAGTGTATATCATTTGCTTTCTCTTCTGCTCTCCCTGAAGCAACAGGGAGTTTTGATTTTGGCTTGTGGCTAGCTACAGAAAGGGACTAAGGTGCCTGGTTCCAGGGTGTTCTCCAAGGCCCTGTGTCTGTGCTCAGGCTCCTCATGTAGCTGGCATGTCACTAATTAAAATTCTGATAGGCCTCCAGAGAACTGTTGGATGACAGGGAATGAAAAGAATGGGGATATTTTAAATCCTGATACTCTCAAGCTCATGTCCTTAGATTTCCTGTCTGTGGCCTGTGGCTTCTGCTTTTTAAACTCAAAAAATCTCGGGGAGGATCTTGGGGAGCTATGAGAATGCTTAAAAAGACTGAGGGAGTGCTTAGGTTTACTTCCCTCCTTTTTCTAAGGGGATTTTAACTTCTTTTAATTTTCTGCCTGTCTGAATATTGCAGACTTAGACACTCTTTTGGGATGAGGATATTTGCTATCTTTTTTCCTAAAGATGTTAGAGTGTACAGGAAAGAATTGGAGCTCTGTGGAGCCAGAGAGGGAGTGTGCAAAAGCAAGAGCGGGTGCATCTCCAACCGAGTTGTTAAGGCGTTGTGCAGGGAGGAAGTGAAATCTAGTTCTCAGTCTTGCCTCAAGGACAGTGTTACTGTTTTACCATTGTAAAAAACATACAAACAGCCTTAGGTGCTTAGATACAACTAAGCCTATGGTATT